CCCCTCATTTCTGGCCTCATCCGGAGCCCACACCCAGAGCCCATATCCCCCCGCTCTACCCCAGCCCGGAGCCCTATCCTGCACCCAAATCCCTCATCCCTGGCCCTATCTCAAAGCCTGCATCCCCAGCCAGAGGCCTCATCCCCCCCCCCCACTCCTCTGCCCCAGCCCAGTGAAAGTGAGTGAGGGTCGGGGGAGAGCGTGCAACAGAGGGAAGAGGGATGGAGCAAGCAGGGGTGGAGCCTCAGAGAAGGGGCAGGGCCTCGGGGCAGGGGTGTTCAGTTTTGTGCAATTAGAAAGTTGGTAACCCTAGCCAACACACACTCTGTCTCTCTCACATACGTACTCCCCCTGCACTCTCACACACTATGACAACACACAATCTTTCTCTGTCTGTGTCTCTCCCCCCTCCCACACTCCCTGTCAGACACACTCCCTCTGTCCCCCCACACACTTCAATTGAAAAGTGGCTGACAATCTAGGATGCCCATGGAACGATGGGAGTGAGAAACCTGCATCATGTGATGCTGTATCTGCCACATGAGGCATTGCAAGCCCTTCCCAAAGCACCCTGCAGCTAGTTGTACAGCGAGATAGCTACCCACAGTGCACTGCTCTCTGTGTCGCTGCAAGAGCGGCTCGTGTGAATGTGCTCTGCTGACACAAGGAGCTAGTGTGGACATTCAACGGCGGTTTAATTAAAGTGGTGGCTGAATGTCGGCGTAACTTGCATCAACAAAACTCTGTGGTGTAGACAAAGCCTGAGATGGACACGCAAAAATGGAAACACTCCGAGTTAATGAACACTTCTGAAAAATTTATGTGCATATTTCTCAGTGCCATAAATGTATGATCTAGCTGCAATGGTGCTGTTAGTGCAAAATAACTTGTTACAGGCTCTCAAAAAAAAGATGCTTGTCTGCAGAAGCAGAGAAAACTATATTAGAAGATACTAGAACTTACACCCACACCTACACCCACCCACCCCTGGGAGCACTAAGGCCCAGTGGTGTCTCCCCCCATGTGGCCTTAGTGGAAAACTGCAGAGAGGGACCTGCCAGAGACTCCAGCCTGTAGAAGCAGAAGTGGCAAAAGCAGGGAACCTCTGGACATTCAGAGAACTTTCTATGGGTGGCCCTAAGGCACTACTGTAATTACATGATTACAAATCATAATAGAATTTCTCTAGTTACAGCTGTCTTTAAGCATTGTCACAGCTTGGGGCTGTGGGCAGGGTGGTCGGCTGTGAAATGTTTTATTCATACCAAACATTAAGGAATAACAATAGATGCTAAGTGATGGAATAGAGGTGGGTTTTGGTTTTTTTAAATAATCTTAACAAGCAAAAACATAGCATTGTGGCTAAAACAAATACTGATGCCCAACTCCTAACTGTGGTATGCAACCTATCATTTAAATCAGCTTCTGTACCAAATGACTGGAAGATAGCCAATGAGACGCCAATTTTTTAAAAGGGTTCCAGAGGTGATCCTGGCAATTACAGGCCGGTAAGCCTGACTTCAGTACCAGGCAAACTGGTTGAAACATTAGTAAAGAACAGAATTGGTTGAACTATAGTAAAGAATTGGTTGAAACGATAGTGAAGAACAGACTTGTCAGACATGCATCATTTGTCAGAATTGTCAGACACATAGATGAACATGATTTGTTGGGGAAGAGTCAACATGGTTTTTGTAAAGGGAAATCATGCCTCACCAATCAACTAGAATTCTTTGAGGGGGTCAACAAGCATGTGGAAAGGGGGATCCAGTGGATGTGTTGTACTTACATTTTTCAGAAAGCCTTTAACAAGATCCCTCACCAAAGGCTCTTAAGCAAAGTAAGCTGTCATGGGATAAGAGGGAAAGTCCTCTCATGGATTGGTAACTGGTTAAAAGACAGGAAACAAAGGCTAGGAATAAATGGTCAATTTTCAGACTGGAGAGAGTGGTGCCCCCCAGTCTGTATTGGGACCAGTCCTATTCAATATATTAATAAATGATCTGGAAAAAGGGGTAAACAGTGAGGTGGCAAAATTTGCAGATGATACAAAACTACTCAAGATAATTAAGTCCAAAGCAGACTGCAAAGAGTTACAAAGGGACCTCACAAAACTGGGTGACTGGGCAACAAAATGGTAGATGAAATTCAATGCTGATAAATGCAAAGTAATGCACATTGAAAAACATAATCCCAACTATACATACAAAATGAGGGGGTCTAAATTAGCTTTTACCACTCAAGAAAGAGATCTTGGAGTCATTGTGGATAGTTCTCTGAAAACATCCACTCAATCTGCAGTGGCAGTCAAAAAAGCTAACAGAATGTTGGGATTCATTAAGAAAGGGATATATAATAAGACAGAAAAGGTCATATTGTCGCTATATAAATCCATGACATGCCCACATCTTGAATATGGTGTGCAGATGTGGTCACCCCATCGCAAGGAAGATATATTGAAATTGGAAAAGGTTCGGAAAAGGGCAACAAAAATGATTAAGGGTATGGAACAGTTTCCATATGAGGGGAGATTAATGATTGCGACTTTTCAGCTTGGAAAATAGATGACTGAGGGGGGATATGATAGAGGTCTATAAAGTCATGACTGGTGTGAAGAAAGTAAATAAGGAAGAACTAAAGGGGTCACCAAATGAAATTAATAGGCAGCAGGTTTAAAACAAACAAAAGGAAGTATTTTTTCACACAATGCACAGTCAACCTGTGGAACTCCTTGCCAAAAGATGGTGTGAAGGCCAAGACTATAACAGGGCTCAAAAAAGAACTAGATAAATTCATGAGATAGGTCCATCAACAGCTATTAGCCAGGATGGGCAGGGATGGAGTCCCTAGCCTCTGATTGCCAGAAGCTGAGAATCAGTGACAGGGGATGGATCACTTGATGGTTACCTGGTCTGTTCATTCCCTCTGGGGTACCTGGCTTTGGCCACTGTCAGAAGACAAGATACTGGGATAGATGGACCTTTGGTCTGACCCAGTATGGCCGTTCTTCTGAGAAAAAGAGAGAGATTTGTAGGGGCTAGTGCACAGATTGCAGGGTTCGATTTTTCATGCTGGATTTATATTCATTCATCTGGAGTTATCAGCCCACTGATTGTTTTCTTTCTAGTATTGTAGTCTGGGTTATTTTACATTCAAAATTCTATTCTAATTTTAATTTTCTTATAAAGAACCACACACACATGCATGCACACAAAACCAAAACCCACCACTAGCAATTGTAGTAAATTCTTCAGTTAAAAATCCAGCAGTATAGTTGAAAATATGTACAGGTATTTTTGAGCATGTTTTGAAAATAAGACTAAACACCAACACCTTAACAATGCCCATTTCCTTGGCTGTGCCATAGAAAAAATATGGCTGTTTGTACTAATAACAATAAGAAGCTAGTGACATTACCCATCAAGCCCAGCATACCACGAATTAGTTTTGGATGAGGCAGAATAATTATATGAGGAAGGCAGTTAGCCAGTGTTAAAACTCCTGGGGCGTGAGGGAAGCTATTGCTGATTTGGGCAAGTGACAAGTGTTCCATGCCTCAGTTTACCCAAACCGACTTGCCAAATGCACAGGGATGTTATGATATATAATTATTGTTAGTAAATTGCTGTGATGTCAATGTATGAAAGGCTTAGACAGACCTGTCAGCTGGTCACCTTTGCCTGGAATCAATGTGTCATGTTGCATTGGAATTAGTTTTGATGAAGGTATTATTTTTTTTCTCAGCCTTAGCAGTGTTCTACATTATTATCAAGATGAAACCAAACAGTGAGACATCTTTCTGACGAGTGCCATCTCAGGGATGGGCAGGAAAGGGACAAACAGTAGCATGTAGACGGAGCTATTGGATAGGGACTTGTGCCATGGGATGGGGCTGGAGTATGTGTCACTGTTAGATGGTTTGGAGGCAAACATATCACCGGGGAAGGGGGAGGACTCAAAGAAGAATGGGTTGGACATGGATTAGCTTAACTACTTACGTGTAGGTGGGGGCAGCTGGTCTGATTACTTTGTGGTATTCTAGAGCTTCCTGTAGGTAGTCCAAGGGGAGAAATCTCGTGGAAAAGGAGGCTAAACCACAAAGTGCTTCATAAAGAGATATGCAGGTTCCCAGCGAATTCTTCCAGTAATCCTGAGGCCGTGGGGATTTGGTGGTCAGGCATCTCCATGCAGATTTTCAAAAACACTCAGCATTGACCTAATTCAGCTCCCACTGAAATCAGCAGTAAAACTCCCATGGACTTCAATAGGAGTAGAATTAGGCTGACACATTAGCTTCTCAAAGGCTACATCTACACTACAGGGGGGAGTTGATTTAAGATACGCAAATTCAGCTACGTGAATAGCGTAGCTGAATTCGACGTATCGCAGCCGACTTACCCCGCTGTGAGGACGGCAGCAAAATCGACTTCTGCGGCTTCCCGTCGACGGCTCTTACTCCCACCTCCGCTGGTGGAGTAAGAGCGTCGATTCGGGGATCGATTGTCGCGTCCCGTCGGGTAAATCGATCCCCGAGAGGTCGATTACTACCCGCCGATTCAGGCGGGTAGTGTAGACCTAGCTAAGATATTTAGTTGCCTGGCTCCCACTGAAATCTGGGGCTGAGTGCTTTTGAAAAATCCAACCCATGGTCCATGGTCTCTTTTCTGGCCAGGACTGAGGGGCACTGAGACGCACAGAGTCTGTTTGATTGGTCTGGGAGCTGTAGAGCCAGAACAAGCAGAAATTCTGTCCAGCAGCCTCAAAGAACCCGCTTTATATTCATTATAGCCTGGACCTGTTTATTCTTGAGCCCACAGGTCTCCACAGTGACACCAGTCCGGTTTGTCATTTTTAACAATATTCTAACATGCCATAAGCATATTTTATACAAGAAAAGAAATCATTAACAAACCAGAAGATCAGTCAGTAGTTTCTAGAAGAACTTTTATATTAGAAAAAATGCCCATCTACATTAAAAGTGAAGGACAAAACAGCGCAGAAATGGTAAAGTATCAAGATTTTATTGTTTCCATATTTTTTTAAATTTTCAAATGAGACATTTGTTTAAAACAGCCGCGAGCAAGCACGTACAAGTTGAGAGAAAAGTGGCAGCGCAGGTAACTCCGTTTGGCTAATGCCCCTTCATGTACGAGATGTACATTTGATTTCTGAGCACCTTTTTTTTGTCTTGGTTTGTGTACAGTAAGGCAGTGGTTTTTCCATAAGGAATATATATATATATATATTTAATTATCATTGTGAATTTTAATCACATGCAAATTAAATGAAATGTACAACTCAAAAATGTTACAACGGTGGAAATTTTTCTCAGAGCAAAGAAGCTTCTAATAGAAGACAAATATGGACACAACAACTTTAAAAAAGAGGGAAAGGAATAAACAACCTAAGGGCAGGCTCTATTGGCATGACAGCTCAAGCAGGGAAGATTGCGATTCCAGTGCGGCCTCCTCTTACCGTAGGGAAGGGGAAAAGAATGGATGATTATCAGCAGAAGTCTTCACCCGGCTCCCATGAAAGGCTTTACTCTAACCTGAGCAGCTCCACGTCGAAGATGAGGGTAGCATTGGGAGGGATGACTCCAGGATGGCCTGTGGCTCCATACGCCATGTCAGGCGTACAGGTTAGCTTTGCTCTTTGTCCTAAGCTCATCTAGTGTTTGGGAGTTGGAGAGGGGGAGGGAGAAGGGGAAAGAATGTGTTAGGAGAAATACAATAGTAAAGTCACTAAGAGGCAGATTTGCAAAGTCAGTGAGAGTTTGGCCCCTAACTCGCTTGATGCTTTTGTAAATCTCACTAAGTCCTATTTGCATCTTTAGGCCCCAAATACCTGTATAAATCTGGTCCCAACAATTTAGCCTCAGATCTCCTGGCTCCCAGTCCTGTTCCTTTACCACTGGATAACGGCCTCTCATTGGCAATATCTAATAATCCTCTAGTGCCAGTTTTGTAACCCGACAGAATACCCTTTTGTGCCAGCGTAGACCCACATTATTTCTTTATTAAGGCCTCTTCTGAGCTGCAGAGCTCTTGCAAAACCTGATTGCAGTGGGAGTTATGGATACCTGACAAGTCACAAGAGGCTCTCAACACTTAACAGGATCAAGGCTCTGGATTCAGAAAGGCTCCAACTCAGTAAGACACGTAAGCATGTGCTTAAATTGACTGGGATGCATGTGGAGAAGTGCTTTGCTGAAGCCAACATGTGATTTCCAGAGTGCTTTGCATCTCCCATTTTCGTCGACATCATTGTCTTCAATGTTCAGTCCATTAACCTGTCTGCCTGTTTCCCCGTCTATCCAATGGGGATAATGCTACCAACCGCCCTCATAAGTGTGTTCCAAGGTTTAATGTGTTCATGTTCCCAAGGCACTTTAAGATCCTGAGCTGGAAGGTGTTGTCAAAGTGTTCAGTAATTATTATTAATTCCTAAAAAGAAGAACAGGAGTACTTGTGGCACCTTAGAGACTAACAAATTTATTAGAGCATAAGCTTTAGTGGACTACAGCCCACTTCTACGGATGCATATAGAATGCATATAGAATGCATAAGAAGAAGTGGGCTGTAGTCCACT